CATATGTTCACGTTGTATTTTGTGCTCTTGGTTGTTATATTGTGTAACTAAAATGTTTAACTTGAGTATAAGGTGGACCGGAAGTAACTTACAAATTTTAAATAGTTTACAGTAATCGTTTTTTACGCCTTGTTTTGTTTTTCTATCAATAAGTAATTTTAGCAACCTTATCTGCAAGTTGTTAGGTTCGGTCCGTTTGTGTGCTTGTTTGCTCTCTTATCTATAAAAATCCTTTTTTTACGTTGTCGAACATTTCTTTAACAAAAATATACTTCCGTATCAGGAATATATCCTGTGTCGCAAGGGGACTTCCTAAACATACATGAAACGGACGTAAAGAACACACAGACTCAGAACAACAAATTGACTCAGAAAAACAAAACACACAGTGTTTATCCATGTGGGGATCGAACCCACAATATTCAGTGCAGTAGGAAGCGGTGAGGTGACCGCTCATACCACTACGCTGTCCGTGCAGTGCAATTAAAACAAAACAAAAATATTTTATCTATAAGTATGTATTTAATTTTTATCACAGATGATAAGGTAAAATTATCTAAATTTTACCTTATAATCTATACTAATATTATAAAGCTGAAGAGTTTGTTTGTTTGTTTGTTTGTTTGTTTGTTTGAACGCGCTAATCTCAAGAACTACTGGTCCGATTTGAAAAATTCTTTCAGAGTTAGATAGCCCATTTATCGAGGAAGGCTATAGGCTATATATCATCACGCTAACAGCAATAGGAGCGGAGCACCAATGAATAATGTTTAAAAAACGGAGAAAATTTATTACTATTGAGAGACGCAGACGAAGTTGCGCGGGTTAGCTAGTCTGTGATAAAACAATTGTAAATAATGTTGCTATCTTTTTTCCACAGGCGTTATCAGGTAATCCTTTAACAAAAAAGAATTTTGAAAATCCGTCTATATCTGACGCAGTCATGCCCAAATATATATAAAAAAAATACAAACATCCGAATTGATAAATACCTCCTTTGAAGTCGGTTATAAATATGAAAGCAACATAACTGACGGATAAAACGCTGACTGCCAAATCAGAGGTGTCGACTACCACCCAGGACTAATTAAATAATTGTTTGATCGAAACTATCATTTGTTCTGTGTTTGGGTGTAATTTATATGTATACGAGTATATTTAGAAATATATAAGTATGTTTATCAGCACTCTGGTTACGATAGTATTGGTTCTGCTTAGTTTTAAATCAGCCGGACGCGTGTAACATGTCCCAAGTTATTACTATACAAGTTGACACGCGCAGCTTCGAGTCTCATGGATGGCGTAGTGGTTTAAGCGGTCACGCCGCTTACTACTACGCTGAGTGTTGTGGATCCGATCCCCACATGGGACGACACTTTGTGTGATCCACAAATTGTCGAAATCCAAATCCACAAGGAAATTATGGTTAGATAAAAGACTAAAACAACATCACAATAAACTAACTTAATATAATAGCACACCATACCTATATTATTTTCTTTATTGTTGCTATTTTTTCGGAGAAAATGTCTATGTCTATTTTATTACAAATAGCGTTATATTTTCCTAGGATATAGGATAGTATATCGTAATTTATATTCCTCAAATAACAATATCCAATCCTAAGATACCGCAAACGTTATAATATAAAGCAAGGCATACTTACTTCCATTGTAGTTACCCTTGAAACTGTAGGTGAGTCAAGGTTGACTCAACTGGAATGGATGTTCTAATGGTTTCTTATTTCGTACTTAATTTGTCCTCTCTGTATTTTAAGATAATGTTATCTTCAGTGTTCGTTACTTCTAAATGAAAATAAAAGGTACAAAAACATTTATTTGCTATTTTAATAAATCCAATTCAATCAATATGTTAACTTACACTAAAAACACGGCTTTAAAAAAAACCTCACTTGAGATTAATGGACAGAGGGGGGAGGTCAATCAAGCTATACATCATGAAATGTCAGGGACAGGGGGGTCCGAAAAAGCTAAAATCTGACCTGACGTAATTAATGAACGCTCTCTCAATAGACAGATCGCAGTCCCCGACGAACACTATGGTAATCGCTATTACGATAGAATCAGGTTTATTAAATATTCGTTATCTACACACCCTATTACAATAATTGAGTTTTTTTTAAGATCGGGCGATGAATACTTTTGGATTTATCCATTCAATAATGATCTTTATGTTTTTGTTCAACGTATAACATAAGTGAAAAATTTACACGATCAATAACGCAAAAACCTATTACCAAATCTCAAAAGTCAACATTTTAGAGTAAGCGGCTATTACCATATTGTTCGAGGGAAAAATGACAGAATCAGAATTTATACATAGGTACCGAAATGGTTATAACACCTAAAAATGATCATCGAATAAGCATGTAATTTATGTTTACCGTAACAACATTAAAGTCAGTTATATCATCGAATACGATTGCAATGTCATTTTACGAATATAAAGTATATTCATATTTACCAAGGAACAATATCATAATGAACGATTACTACAGCAACACCGATTTGTGATTACAGTCGAACACTATCGTAAAGTTAGTTTGCGTTAATTTTTTCAATAGCTTATTTCAGTAATGGACATTTTCACAATTTTCTTACTGATAAAGAAAATTTGTGATAAAAATTTAGTAAAAATCTAGTGCAAAAAATATTTCCTTATTTTTGATAAAAGAATCTTCTTTTTAGTCTTGATAGTATTCAAGATATTCAGTTTTTATTTGCGCCTGTAAAATTGTTATTTTCCTATTACGATTTTGTTCGTCGGGGACTGCGAGATATTTATAGATTGTGCAATCACGAAAATTGTTGTGAAATAAATGTTAGTAACTAGGTGGTATATTAAATTTGTTTCTTCCATGAGGAAAATAGAATACACAGTAGGCTTATTATGGGTTTATATAGAAAAAAAAGATAAATAAATAAGACTTCAAAAATCGGATACAAATTTTTTTTGGTTTAAAATTATTACCTATTAGAATGCCCATTACAAAAGTCTAACACTTTTTGTTTTGAATATATCTGTAATTTTTTTTGTTTGAGTTTATGTCCTTCATATTACCGATGGTATAAACTTGTAGCGCCACATATACATGGTTCAGAGTGATTCAGTCGTATCGCGCCGTGACTCAACTCTATCGACCGCATGAAGTGGGCATGCGGGTTGTGTAATATCTACTCTGAACAGATATGACTTGTCTAATCAATAGCACGTACCAATACGTACGTGGGCAAAAATTGCAAATGATCGTATATAAATAGAAGCTCTAAACGGGTTGTAAACAAGAAAATTTCAGCGCCACGGTGCCATCTGTTATTGGTGAACTTTGAACACCAAAAATTTAATTATGTTTTGTAACAATTACCAAAAACATTATTTGTTTTAAAATATTACCCTGATCGGTGGATCACTTGGCTCGCAGGTCGATGAAGAACGCAGTTAACTGCGCGTCATAGTGTGAAATGCATCACATTGAACATCGACGTTTCGAACGCACATTGCGGTCCTCGGATAACCTCCAGGACCACTCCTGTCTGAGAGCTGGCTGTATAACATACATTTCACATTGCGTGCCGAGCGCATTTGACGGTTCTGCGACTTGTCTGCAAACTAATGTTCTGCGTCTCGTCGTATAGTCCGTTTAAATATTAAAATTGTAATAATCATGCGATAGTGTGATAGAGGACATGTTTTAACGAAAAACGTGGTGCTGCTTGCGCGACGCCTCTCCGTAATATCACTATGGAGGTGGCTAGTGCTTGCGGCGCTCTCGACTTTTCGAGTGTCAACGAGAAAGTTGAGCGTACACAATTATACGTACCGTTATTTTGTTTAAACAATGTCTCTATCGAAACTTACGTATAGTATTATTACAATGTCTGAATATATAACAGGTAGATTCGAATCTGTGGAGCGCCTTAGCGACGAGGTGTATTTATGTTTTTTGTAACGTAAACAACTCTTCCGTTACTGTAGTGCTAACAGATTTTCAATTTGCTTCGTTTATATCGCTAGTCTCAGATTAGGAAGGATCACCCGCCGAATTTAAGCATATTAGTAAGCGGAGGAAAAGAAACTAACCAGGATTTCCTTAGTAGCGGCGAGCGAAGAGGAAAGAAGCCCAGCACTGAATCCTGTCGTTGTTCCGGCGACGGGAGATGTGGTGTTCGGGAGGTTCCGTTTTCTTGCCGTAGTCATTTCTGTACAAGTTCTTCTTGAACGGGGCCGTTTACCCACAGAGGGTGCTAGGCCCGTAGCGACGAAGGACTGCGGTAAGAGGAACTCTCCTTAGAGTCGGGTTGCTTGAGAGTGCAGCCCTAAGCGGGTGGTAAACTCCATCTAAGGCTAAATATCACTGCGAGACCGATAGCAAACAAGTACCGTGAGGGAAAGTTGAAAAGAACTTTGAAGAGAGAGTTCAAGAGTACGTGAAACCGTTCAGGGGTAAACCTGCGAAGCTCGAATGAACGAACGAAGAGATTCAGCGTCGTCGGCGGTGACTGTGAACACGCGACTTGATGTTAACAACCAAGGTTGCAAAACACAAAGCGTGTTTATCGAGGTCAGCTGAAGGCGTGCACTTCTCTTTTAGTAAATACATCGCGACCCGTTCGATGGCGATCTAAGCACCTTTACGTAAGTATCATGTCCTTTGCGGGGCCGGTCCGTATTGGTAGCCGATCGATCTTTGGACGGTAAGATAAAGAAACGCGCACGCGTCTAAGCGCGTCCGGCTGGGCACAGACAACGTCGTTTACAACGTATCACCTGAGCGTGGTCGAGGTAACAGCGACGGTGTCGCGGCTGCCGTGCAGTCTCGGACTGTGCGCGTTTCTGTCTGCGATGATTCAGTTTCGGGTACTCGCAGGACCCGTCTTGAAACACGGACCAAGGAGTCTAGCATGTATGCGAGTCATTGAGATTGTAAAACTGAAAGGCGCAACGAAAGTAAAGGCACGTATTAAACGTGCTCAGGGAGGATGGAGCGTCGGTTTCGGTCGGCCTCTCGCACTCTCGAGGCGTCTCATTTCCAAACTGTGATGCAGGCGCGCTCTGAGCATAAATGCTGGGACCCGAAAGATGGTGAACTATGCCTGGTCAGGTCGAAGTCCGGGGAAACCTGGATGGAGGACCGCAGCGATTCTGACGTGCAAATCGATCGTCGGAACTGGGTATAGGGGCGAAAGACTAATCGAACCATCTAGTAGCTGGTTCCGTCCGAAGTTTCCCTCAGGATAGCTGGCGTCGATTTGAACAGTCTCATCCGGTAAAGCGAATGATTAGAGGTATTGGGGACGAAACGACCTCAACCTATTCTCAAACTTTAAATGGGTGAGGTCCCCGGCTTGCTTGATCGATGAAGCCGGGGGTCTGATGACGATGCCTAGTGGACCAATTTTGGTAAGCAGAACTGGCGCTGTGGGATGAACCAAACGTAGTGTTAAGGCGCCCAAAAAACGCTCACAGCAACCGAAAAGATGTTAAACACCCGAGACAACAGGACGGTCGCCATGGAAGTCGGCATCCGCTAAAGAGTGTGCAACGACTCACCTGTCATAAAGGTGTATTGCTCTGAAAATGGATGGCGCTACAGCGTTTTGCCTATACACTACCGTTACGGGCATGTGCGACGTTCATTGTGACGTCATTAAGCCGTAACGAGTAGGACGTGCGCAACGGAGAGCGCGGAAGGGTCTGGGCGTGAGCCTGCCTGGAGCCTCCGTTGGTGCAGATCTTGGTGGTAGTAGCAAATACTCCAGTGAGGCCCTGGAGGACTGATGTGGAGAAGGGTTTCGCGTAAACAGTAGTTGCTCGCGAGTTAGTCGATCCTAAGCTCTAGGAGAAATCCGATGTCAATGTGGTGTGTTTTTCTTATGTATGTAAATCAAGGACAAATAACACCCTGTGAGCGAAAGGGAATCCGGTTCTTATTCCGGAACCCGGCAGCGGAACCGTTTCAATAATCGTCCTCTCGATTTATCGAGTGTTTGACGGGGTAACCCAAATTGACCTGAAGACGCCGCTGAGTTATCTGGGAGGAGTTTTCTTTTCTGCCTGAGCGTTCGAGTTCCATGGAATTCTATAATGGAGAGATATGGTTCGGAACGCGAAGAGCACCGCTTTTGCCGCGGTGTCCGGATTGACTCAACGGACCTTGAAAATTCAGGTGAGGGATGTACGTGGAGATGTCGCGCCGGCTCGTACCCATATCCGCAGCAGGTCTCCAAGGTGAAGAGCCTCTAGTCGATAGAATAATGTAGGTAAGGGAAGTCGGCAAATTAGATCCGTAACTTCGGAATAAGGATTGGCTCTGAGGACCGGGGTGTGTCGACTTGGATAGGGAAATGGATGGAGTCAGTGTATGGTTGATACATTCTCGCCTCTTAGGGCGTAAATGTTGAGCTATACCGCGGCAACCTCCGTGGATCTACCAAGAGTAAGGGCAGCGTTGATCTCGTATAATGCGCGATTGATGCAGTTCTGTTTGACCACCGTATAACGGTCAGCTCAGAACTGGCACGGACAAGGGGAATCCGACTGTCTAATTAAAACAAAGCATTGCGATGGCTCTCGCGGGTGTTGACGCAATGTGATTTCTGCCCAGTGCTTCGAATGTCAACGTGAAGAAATTCATATAAGCGCGGGTAAACGGCGGGAGTAACTATGACTCTTCTAAAGTAGCCAAATGCCTCGTCACCTAATAAGTGACGCGCATGAATGGATTAACGAGATTCCCACTGTCCCTATCTACTATCTAGCGAAACCACAGCCAAGGGAACGGGCTTGGAAAAATCAGCGGGGAAAGAAGACCCTGTTGAGCTTGACTCTAGTCTGGTATTGTGAGGAGACGTGAGAGGTGTAGCATAAGTGGGAGATTGCGCAAGCGATCGTCGCTGAAAAACCACTACTCTCATAGTTTCGTTACTTACTCGGTTGAGCGGAACCGCTGCGCGGTGGATATTATTGCAATATCGCCGCCTCGGTTTTTAGTTTCAAGCGTGACGAGTGGCGATGTGTCGGTAACGCACTTCGTTCATAGCTCTCGTGTGATCCGGTTCGAGGACAGTGCCAGGTGGGGAGTTTGACTGGGGCGGTACACCTGTCAAAGAATAACGCAGGTGTCCTAAGGTCAGCTCAGCGAGGACAGAAACCTCGCGTAGAGTAAAAGGACAAAAGCTGACTTGATCCAGATGTTCAGTACGCATAAGGACTGCGAAAGCAAGGCCTATCGATCCTTTTATATAAAGAGTTTTTAGTAAAAGGTGTCAGAAAAGTTACCACAGGGATAATTGGTTTGTGGCAGCCAAGCGGTGTTAGCGACGTTGCTTTTTGATCCTTCGATGTCGGCTCTTCCTATCATTGTGGAGGGAATCACAAAGTGTTGGATTGTTCACCCGTTAATAGGGAACGTGAGCTGGGTTTAGACCGTCGTGAGACAGGTTAGTTTTACCCTACTGATGGCGCGTCCTTGCGATAGTAATACTGTTTTATTTCATAAACGCAACGACGGTATCGGATATTTGGTGTTGCACTCGGCCGAGCGGCCGGTGGTGCGAAGCTAGCATCCGTGAGATAATCTCTGACCGCCTCTCAAGAGAGAAACTCATCTAGGCAAATTCGGCAAGGATATGTTCGTGGAGATCCGAGGGTCGGGAGGCTCTAAACAATGTGACCATTAGTAGTTGCGCTTCACTGCGTGAGGCGTGACGTCGAAGCCAGTTTAGATCGCGGAGATCAGCGCTGTTCGCATACGGGCGTGCGTTAAGGCTCCGAAGGTCTGAATGTAACTCAGTTCGATGTCGGATCTCGGGATAGTCTGTAGACTACTTTCGTTCCTGGCGGGGTGTCGTAAGCGACAGAGTGGTTACGCTACGATTCGCTGAGACTTAGCCTTGTGCCAGGTGGTCCGTTATACAACACATAATACACGAACAACTCTACATTTACAGACGCCGTTAACACACGAAGTAGTTGTACACCTTTTTTTTTTATCCGTGCGGAAATCCCCCTCGGATACCACTCTCGGTGGCATGTCGGACTCGAACCGACTAAAACCGCACGCCGTCTCGGGTACTAATAGCCGGTAACCCGGTATACCCTAGAAAGGAAGTCCCTGGTGCAGTAGTTTTACACCGTTTTTTTTTTTTTTTTTTAAACTACTGCAATAAACTTGCGGTTTATGCAACTTAATTTACATACCTGAAGATTATTTATATAATATTATAATATAATTTGCCTAACACTACTACACCTTTGATGGCAAATAACTCAGGTACTTACGTTACTAAGACATTATAAACCCTTTTAAAAAAAACGTTGAACCGACTTCAAACAACACCGACAAAGAGCACTAAAAATAAAAAATAATTACAAATCTAAGTAAAAAACTATAATAAGTACCCTCAATGTAACAGGTAACATTATAATACCAATAGTCCCTTTTAGACGAATTGAGAACCTCCTCTTTTGTGTTTTGGAAGTCGGTTAAAAAGACAGGTGAGTGACGTTCGACTGAATTACATTAGATATACAGTAGATATTCTACAGTTTCTATCGGACCCGGCACTCCCACTTCCACAAAATCAAATATTTAGAAGAATAAACCTTCAATATGGAAACCATTACTTGCTTATAACGTAAAGATAATATACCTACATTGATTAGAATATAAAGCAACTAGTATGGTACTAAAATTTAACCAAGAATCTTAGGGTTTGGGGTTCAACAGATTATTATAAGTTATTTGCTTTTTGTACAAATTTAAAAAGACATTATTATTAAAAAGCAGACATTATTGTAGCAGGACAAAAAAAACAATATTGTGTTTTAAATTTAGTTGAGAATGATTTGTTCTCACGAACAATTCTCATAGTTTATGGATTGTCTACAGGACTTGGCACTTAGATTGGCATTTCGATTCTTTAGTCGTTGAAGTAGAGAATCACATCATAATTTTCCAGAGAGTTGTCACACTTTTAAACGTCATCATCATTTTATATCAGTGACCTAACATTCAAAAATCACCGTTTATTGTCAGTGAGTATATATATATATATATACAGTGAAGAACAGAAATAATTGATGAACAATTTTTTTAACAGAAACAGTGTAACCAAATAAACAGCGAATTCAAAAGCTGAAAACATATATAAAATAGCATAGCAGCAACATCTAATAAAACTACAATAACTTTTACAGATGAAATACTAAATAAATCCTCTAAAACTAACTAGAACTAATGTAAGAGTGAAAAAAAGTGACCGTTTTCTTATTTTAATTTTTACCACAGCAATTACAACAATTCAAGCAAATAGTGCCATCTATGGCACAGGTACGGAACTACTTCACTACATTCTTAACTAATAAATTAATAAACCACCGGCACAACTGCGTAAATAATACCGATTTACGCCGCCAGAGGGAACCACTATTACTAATATTGATCAACAAAACCGAGTACGACTGTGTGTGGTTCTTCTCGTAGACCCCAGCTAGAATATCAGGGTGACCTCTCCACGCCACGTTTGTTTAAGTGGTTTTCTGCGCCGCCTGCTACTACAGACGGGTCACTGGGTTGGTAGTTCCCGGACTGTTCGTCCGGCGGGGAGCGTGGCCAATGAGGTCAAGCCAGTGCGGGTGGGTCCAGTAGGGATTGTCACGAAGACTAAGTCTTGCGGCAGGCCATGCCTGTCCGGCGGTCGACGATGATAGGGCGCGAGCTCCCGCAGATGGCTTGTGCTCAGATGGGAACAGGTTTGTGCTCAGACGTCTCACGAAGTCGTCCAGGCTCTCCACGCGCAGATCCCTGGATATCGTCCGGTTCCGCAAAAAGCGAGGTGCGTAGTGCGAGCGACTGCTGCGCACGCAACCGGCGGCGGTTCGTTTCGGATACGAACCAGGCCGGAGCACCATATGTGAGTCTGGTGCGAATGTCAACTCAAACTCTTTTTTTCATAAAATTTTCAAAATTGTTTGAAATCGTCTTTTATGTAGACTCTAAAGTCATGGATCATCATGCCTTGTACACACCGAGAATCGCACGAAGCGGTAATCGGGACGATAGCGAGTACGACTGATGATATTCATTATCCACTATGCCTCAATAAATATTACCAACTGCTACACGCAAACATCCCTCAATACCTTTTTTTCTCTGTGCGGAAATCCTCTTGGATACCACCGGTGGTTATTTCGGACTCGAACCGACTAAAAACCGCACGCTCGGCTATCAATAACCGGGGAACCAGCTGTACCCTAGGAAGGAAATCCCTGGTACCCACAGCGTATCTGTATAAGAAATATACTTTCCTTACATTGGCTTTCTTTCTCACCTACTATTCTTTTTTTTGCAACGCCCGCATTAGGAATTGTGTCGCGTGGAACTTTACAAATAGACATGAAACGGACACAAAGAACACCCAGACTCAAAACAACAATTTGTGGATACACAAAGTGTCGTCCCATGTGGGGATTAGACATGGAAATTATTCCCCAAGGAGCATCAAATATTTATGTAAACTAAGTATATATTAAATACTTCTAAGCTATTTATAAGCTAAATATTACTAAGCTGAGATAAAGTAATATATATTGATAAGACCTACTTTTAGTTATCTTTAATATCTTCTTTTTTAGACTGCACAGATGGTGTACTAGTTTAAGCGGTCACCTCTGAGGGTTCGATCCCATCATGTGACAACACTTTGTGTAATCTGTAAATTGTTGTTCGAGTCTGGGTATTCTTTGTGTTGATTTGAATGAATTTTGTAAAGTCCCCTGCGACACAGGATATATTAATAGTAGGGGAGTTGAAAAAAACATAAATAAAAATATATGTTTTTCTATTAATAAATAAATAAAAAAAAAACTATATATATATATATTAGACTTGCAACGAATAGTATATTCGGCAGTATACCGAATACCGAATATTCGGCGAGGCCCCTGACCGAATAGCCGAATATTAGGCAAAAGTATTCGGCTGGATTTTAGCGCCAAAAACTTGTACAGACGTGAATTAAATTATGTCCTGTTTTATGTACCAATGACTACTTAATAAATGATTATAAAAGAAATGAGAACCTTACCCTTCTAAATTTTGATTACCACAATAATTCAAATACATAGAATCCTCCAATTCAGAAGATGATTATGTACCTGTGTTATGCATCAATGACTACTTAAATGATTATAACAGAAATGAAAATATGAATATATACGTAATCAACCTTTTTTCATTTTACCAATTATTTCTCAATGACAAAATATATTATTTAAGTATTCGGTATTCGGCCGAATAATATGTAGATATTCGGTATTCGGCCGAATATAATAAAAGCAGCCGAATATGCCGAATACCGAATAGTAACCGAATATTCGTTGCAAGTCTAATATATATATATATATAAATAAAATAAACTGAACAGAAGAGTTCCCCAAACCTTATAAACTTACCCATGTTTTATTTTTTTTAGGTGCCCAGTTGACAGCAATAAACTTGGGTACTATTTTGTGTTGCAGTAATATCATAGTAAAGGAGGAGTAGTATCTTAATGAGGGAAATATAATAGTCTATGTGTGGTGGGTGTCGTAAGAGACGACTAAGGGAGCAAACTACGCAGGACAACAGCACTGCATAGAGAAGGAAAACTTGAAACAAACCCTATACCAACCGGCCTGGCCAGCATGGTTTAGTAGGCCTATACCTCCTTTCTAAGGAGAGGCCTATGTCCAGCAGTGGACTGTTAAAGGCTGTTCATGATGATGATAATAGTCTAATCCTTCTGGTATACAGACGTAAATAGCTGTATAAAGTGAGAAAATAAATAGGCGCTTTAAATATTATTGTGCTCTACTCTTAAGCTAGGGCCGGCGCTGATCGTGACAACTCAGTATTTACACTTTTTGTCATCAGTATTACTGACCGGTTTAATAGTCAAAGTCTCGTACATTTCCTGAAGATGAGTGTTGGTAATCAAATACATTTAATTTTTTATATCTTTTGCGAGACAAATTCTACAAACCAATAATTTGTCCATGGTTCCGGTTCTTAGGTTAATAACTTATATGTATATATATTTGCGCTTATTTTGTAATGTTGACATGATATTGAAGTTTATTAAAATAATTTATTTTTTAAGTCTCAAATAACAGTAAACAAACAAAATATTGTGACAGAAAACCAATGTTGCCATTTTGTTAACGTGACAACTGCTGATACTAATTTGGACTTTTGGAGTAGAAATGTCCATTATAGTAAGTAATGTTCGTTCATTATCATAATGCTTGGTGCGATGCTATATGTGTGGGCAACTCATAAGCCAGCCACAGATGTTATAGTTTACCGGAGAGGTACCACCAGTGCAGGTGTCTCTGAGCAGGTAGACCGTAGACCGTAAAACTAAAGCTCGCCACACGCTTCGGTTTGATTATAATATAAATATTGAATATCGAAATTGCTACGGTCGCCTGTACAGGCTACAAAAACTGCACAGGTGGTTGCCGTATACGATTAGGTCTATCTGCATAGGTAGACTTCGTCGGTAAACCCTAACGTGTGAGGCCGGCTTAAAACAAACACTACGGACCGTTGCCATATACATTCCAGCTTCGGTAGCGAGCGTGCTACGGGAGCAGCCGCCGAGCGCCAGATCCCCAATATTGGTAGTAGGTTTACTACTTGATGAAATAACAGTTCTGACTGTAAACTTTCTACGATATGATGATCCTACTCTTAAATTATTATGTAAATGCATGCCTGAAGATGAATTTGACTCACAAAATTATTTATGATTTTTTAATGTGTAAGATAAATGAGTGTATGCCAAACGATTTTCCACGAAATTATGCTATGTATTGTATTAAGAGCCATAATTCAGTCACCCACAAGTTCCTCGCTCTCTGTCTCTTCACATATTTAGGTACTTGCCCCGTGGCAATCAAATCATCATACTAGATTCTTAGCCACAGTATAACCCACATATTAATTATTATTATTTAACGGGAATTAACGCGATCTCTTTTTTAGGGTATTACATACCTCTGGTTTGCCTGACGTTTCGACCAGGTTGCACCGGCCGTGGTCACAGGCTGGACAGGAAGTCAAAGTCGTTAATTCCCGTTAAATAATATTAATTATCATGGAACGCGAAAGTTTAAAAGTTGGTAACCCACATATTAAATTACCGAGTTATCTCAGCCTAGCAGCATACGCAGTAAGAAAAATTCGAGACTTGACTGATGTTGAGACAGTACGACTTGTTTACCTCATTTATTTTCATAGCATAATGTCGTACGGTATTCTATTGTGGGTCTGTAGGGAAATTATTTTTGTACTGCAAAAGAGAGCGATTCCAGCAGTTTATAATTTAGGCAATCGTTGTTCATTGGGGCAGAAATTTAAAGAAACAAAATATTGGGCTAGGGTGCTTTTATTATTTTCTTATTTTATATTTTTTATGTTTTCTTCACTTTCTCTTTTATTCAATCTTTTTTCTTACTCTTGTTTTCTCTGCAGCCTTTTACCTTTTAGTCCTTAATAACGGACATACTGGCACACATCAAAACAATGTTTAATGATGCCATTGTATCTATATGTCAATTGCAAAAGATTGGCCATAAGTTTGCCCTTTCTTCTCATAAGGATCAACTACTTGGAAACAAGCAGTTGTAAATCGGCCCAGACATGTCATAGATTTTTTATAAGTTGAATTGTTTTTTTTTTGAATTTATAAGTTTAAATTTATTTTGCCTCCTATTTGACAATACAGTTTGTTGCTATTGTGTGTGTTGATCTATGACTTTAGAGTCTACACAAGAGACGATTTCAATTTTTTTGACGTGACAACGTTTTATAATTCGATGGAGCCGGCTGCACGGACGAAAAAACATGACTCATGCGGCGTTACCTCGCTCTGAAGCGTTCCATTTAAGGCTTGAAGTGCAAGCGAGAGCGCGCAACGAGCGACAAAGAGGCACAATCGGCCTCCGCGTTCGGCAGCGTTTGACATCTCTCTCTCTCCTACTTGAGTGAGCGATGCGTGCGCGTGGACAGCTGCTATACAATAATACATTTACATGTTTTCGTAAAATGCAACCTTTCCATCAGTATTTTCTTATGACGTTGTCACGTTCAACTATCGTCAGTAAACCGACTTTACAGACAACCGATTTTTTTTTTTATGATATTAAGATATTTTAAGTTTGATCAATGTGTGTGTTATTTAAACTCTACAGGTACTATTCTTACACTTGTTAAGTACAAAGGCGTTGTTTTCTCACAATATGTTTATTGTATCAAAAACCAAGCCGCAAAAAAAAATACAATTTCAAAAACGCATCTCGTACATTGATTTGATGACAATGATGACGAAAGAGTGGTACAATATCGTTTTCACGGTTAAAAATGCATTCAGTTGTAAAAAATATCATAATATTATATAGTAGTATATAATATAATAACCATTAATTCTATATCTTCTACTTTTTATTATCTTTATCTAGACCAGTGATTTATCGATTTTTGGTAGTTTCTTTAGCAATGTTTATGGCAGTCAAAATATCAAAACTAATATTTTATTAGGATCAATGTTGTGAAGGTTTAATAGTGTCAGTGTCAGTGAAGTGATTTTGTAAATAATATTCCTTTTTATAACTCCAAACTAAATCATTTCTATCTAATATCTCATTAGGATTGACGCAAATACACTTTATGCCCAGATATAGAGCTTATAGCAGATTAGTACTTATTAATTATAGATATTCTCTCTGTGTATATATTATTATTATTTTTGTCTATCTAAACAAATCGACCGATAATAATATCAATTATTGCAACTCATAGAAACAATTTAAGGACCCGATGCGGAAAGAAACTTTATCGCCGTTGGGAGGTTTGCACTGGATGTAAAACACGTCAGTATCATTTATTTATTTATTTTTAATGGAAGAACAAACGAGCGGACGGGTTACCTGATGGAAAGTGACTACCGCCGCCCATGAACGCCTGCAACTCAGGAGTTACAAGCGCATTGCCGGACTTTAAGGAAAGAGTACGCTCTTTTCTTGAAGGTCGTATCGGTCCCGAAATACCGCAGATGACAACTTGTTCCACAGGCAAAAAGTGTCTTGAACAGTGCACAATGGAGGAGTTCCAATTATCAAAGTGATGGAGATGAAAATCTGGTGGCAACAGCAAAAAAGTTAGCCATCTTGTAGAAAAACATCAACTAATGCAGTCCCGTTTCCGCATTTAGATTTATAGGTGGTTTATTATGCTATTATTCTATAGGCTAACTATTTCAAATAGCTCATCTATGTAGCTTTAGGGATAGATGGTCTGTAGCCATCCTTGTGGGGACAGTTTAAGAAAATGGAGTGTCACCACTATTCAATCTGTGGGTGTAAGAGTTGAATAAGTGAGCAAACTATGGAGAACAAAACAGCACTGGAAAGAGAAGGAACACTTAACAAACCCCATACCAACCCATCTGGCCAACATAGTATGTTGTGGTCAAAACCTCATTTCTAAGGATAGCCTACGTCCAGCGGTGGACTATTGAAGGCTGTTGATTATGATGAGGGTTCCTACAATTATATAAAAGTAGGTTTTGCCCACATCTTATATATACAGACTAGCTGGTACCTACAACTTTGTTCGCATGGAATTTGAAAAGTGCTGCCTTAGTGGGTTCGTTTCCCGGACAAGGCAAATTTTAAAGAGTTTTTCTGAAAGCGAAAATAGCCTGAGTTACTCCTTATATAGACAACCTGATAGTAAAATATTATACAAATCGGTCCAGCCGTTTAGAAGATTACAGACAGATGAAAAAAATGAATTGGTTTTTAGGCATAGGTATGGTGCAAATAACCGTGCAAGCATGAAAGAAACCCATTATTATGACATTATAAACAAACACTTAAATTTCATTTATTTGTATAGAGTATAGATTTCTGTCATTTTTTTATTTCAGTTTATCCATGGCATGATAATTCTTTTGAGCACCAGTGGCATTTAAATAGAGGAATTTAACAACCAGCAGTATGGAACATATCTTCAAACACTATATTGATGTTGACGTCAAAATGGAATTTGCTGGAATGGTTAAAATAGAACCGTTAAACTCACATGGTATGAATTTCTTCTTTAACACGCTTTTATTAGCTTTATATGTGTATGTGTGTGTATGTAACAGAATCTTCGAACGTGACTTATACCGATTTCCAAACGTCAAATTAAATTTAAGGTTTGTGCACTTATCAAGGACCGATGACAAAAATTTAAATAATTTAAACAGCAAACATAGTATAGGACGCCCACAGGCCAGGTGGAGTGGCAGGAGCTGGATGCGAGAAGCCCAAAATCGATCTAAGGCGTGCAATAGGAGAAGCCTATGCCCAGCAGTGGACTAGTAAAGGCTGTTGATGATGAACAGTGTAGGGGGATAAACGAGCAGTTGGGTCACTTGATGGTAAATTACTACCCTCATAGATATCTGCAAAAGTCACAACTCGGCCTCCTTATCTAGATTCAGGAAAAGCAGAGGGTTTGGGATCCGGTAACCTCACTCTCTCGGTGAAAGAATTGCTTAACTCTGGTTTTCGATAAGGCCGTGGTATTACTCCGGTCAAGCATCTAAATACATTCGAATATAATATTTTACAGATGAAGAATCGATAGAAGAAGTGGTAACCGATTGTTCTAACTATATATATGATATACCGATAGAGAAAATAAAGAAGGAACCGCCTGATAACCTAAGTAAGTATAATTATAATAAAAAGCCGTGTGGTGTCGTGGGAAGTTGTGACGATCGAGTAAAACTGATTTTAATTACAACGCCATCTATGAAAGTGGCTATAACCTACATATTTTTCAGTTGGTTTCTAATTAAAACAATTTATACATTGGTAAAATCTCCTTGAGAAATGATTTCCTATCTATTCGATAGATGGCGCTGAATGAATTACATAAAAAGTGTCGTTACAACTTTTCGTGAGATTTTTTTCCGTCTAGCCCCCTTAACGCGCGATAAGGAACTTCGTTCCAATAATACTTATTATTATTTATTTAGAACTGACAGCAGATTACAATAAATCAAATGGGTTTGATAATGTCTGCATTAGTAAAACACTGTGGCGCAGTCAGTAACGCCCACCTTTGGATGTGATGCAAACATTCCATTACTTTCTACCACATTTAAACTCTAAAAACTAAGCATGTGGAGTATAACGAGGTGTGTGTGTGTGAGTGTGTGTGTTTGTGTGAGAGTGTGTGAGTGTGAGTGTGTGTATTGTGTGTTCAGGTATGAAGCTACAAGTACAAAGTGGCGTCAAATCCAGTAGGCTAGGCTTTCTCTTTAGTTCAATACTCAAGCGAGTCACGTCCTACCTAGATTTGATCCCGGGCTGAATGGGTCGGACTGGTTTAGTCCACGTTCAACCACCACAATTTCTACCCCCGTCCATATTGAACCCCCAAGGTTAAAACACGTATTTCTATAGATTGCATGATATTCAACTGGCAGTTGTTAGGTATCTAAAAATGAAATTAAATAAAAGCGAGAGCAAAAGTGTATTTTTTATTTCTTTTACAAATATTAGTAGCCATTTCAAAAAAGTAATCGTGTTTTGATAAACATTGATGATGAAGCCGTTTCACCAAAAGCTAAATTAATTGACACAGTAAAACACTATTAAACTAAAATGGACTCAATTTCTTCAGACAAAAATCTACCGTATGACTCGAACGACTAAAACCACACAGTATACCATCATGAAGACTTCATATATGTACCCTAGAAGGAAAATCCCTGTAAAAGTATGTCTTATGTTATGTAATAATGACTACATAACTTACTGGAATTTAATATTTAGATTAAATATTCCTTAAATTCGTTTCGCTAGATCCAGTGAGTATTAATTGAGACCCGCTAGTTACAGTGAAACGGAATTGTAGTCCGCTGGTCCTATTGATACTGGCTCGTCCACGGTGCCATGATGTCATAGTGTTTTTTTTTTTTTTTTGTTTTTTAAAAAGACAACTCCCGCATTAGGAATACATTCCTATATCGCGGGGGACTTTACAAACATACATGAAACGGACACAAAGAACACCCAGACTCAGAACAACAATTTGTGGATCACACAAAGGGTCGTCCCATGTGGGGTTTGAACCCACAACACTCGGCGTAGTAGGAAGCGGCGAGGTGACCGCTTAAACCACTACGTCATCCGTGCAGTCAACAATTAATAAGGAATAATTTAATAATAATATAATAATTATATAAAATAATAATATAATAATTTAAAAGATGCATAACCATCATGTTGCGTTGGTGCCAGAATATTGATTGGATCTTTTTAAAGTTACTTCAAACAGACTAGGAGGGATTATTGCTATTATAATGTTAACTGTTATACTGAGGGTATTTATTATAGTTTTTTTTTACTTCAATTTGTAATTATTTTTTAATTTTTAGTGCTCTTTGTCAGTATTGTTTGAAATCGGTTCAACTTTTTTTTAAAGATTTATTTGGAGAATGGAGCCGTTTGAAGACGTTTTATTCATTAAAGAAATTTTTGAGTTGGGTTGTTTTAAATTTTATTTGTATACTCTTCAGATAATCAATCAGAAACGGATGGACCCATGCATCAACTTGTGGATGTCGTGATCGTGAAAATGGAAAGTAATGATCAGGATACTGGTAAGTCAACCTTTGGAACCTTCTAGAAGAGGCTTCGGCTCATTCTCATCTCAAAGGCTGGCAACCCACTGACTCTTTAAGTTGCAGGTGTTCATTAGTCGGTAGTCATTAACCAACAGCTAACCCGTGCGCTCGTTTGCACCAAAGATTGTTTTTACTGTTATTTGTAAAGGGCTGGGTTGTCTATGTCCTTATAAGAAAGAATGTTTTTTGTTCATCATATAATATGGAGAGGGAGAGGCCTATGTCCAGCAGTGGACTGCGATAGGCTGATGATGATGATGATGATGGTATAATATAGTAGTTTCCATCAGAATTGCTGTTTAACAAAACAAACAAACAAACAAGTTTGTTGAAACATCAAAGTTACATTTTGACAAGTGCTCTGCCTCCTTAAGTAGGTCGATTAACCTGTATCTTAGGAGTCAGTGCCTTCCTTACTTAGAGGTACAATGGTTTTACAATAAAAATTATGATAATGGAATGTATTTGTAGAAGTGCGTGTGTATGTCAGCGTGTGCGAGTGTGTGTGTGTGTATGTGTATATCTGTATGTGTGGGTGGATTTATGCGTAACCGATGCCTAACCCAATATGCTTGTTATATCCAAAAACAATATTTCATTTTAATTTTATGACGTCACGTTTTCTGTTTAAGATAAGAACTATAATTAAATGTAAGTATTGGAATCAATGGGAATGTGTGACTTTTCGACCAGTTTGCGCTCGCCGCAGTCTCATTTAAAAAGTATTCTACCAAATACTCAATAAAATCAATTTTTCATCACTTAGGTACCTTCGAGCCTGAACAACCAACATCCAACAAATCTCAAGAACAGGAACACAAAGAGGCCAAACCAGAAGACTCCGAACCAAATGATATCAAAAGTAATGTTAAACGTAAAACCTTTGTCAAGAAACTAAATGAAAAAAGCAAAGACAATTTAAAAAGTAAAACTGACAGTATTGACAAGCCTTTCAAATGTGACAGCTGTCAAAAGTGTTTTAAATACAAGTCTTTTTTAATAAGACATATTCCTACTCACGCAACGGAAGAGACTTTTGAGTGTAATAAATGCCAGAAGAGCTTTAGTGCAAAGACCCATTTAGATAATCATATGCGCATACACTCTTTTGATAAACCATTCCAATGTAATATATGTCAAAAAGGTTTCATACAAAGGAATTTATTAAAAGCACACATTCGTAAACACACTGGGGAAAAACCACACAAGTGTACCACATGTGACAAATGTTTTTCAATTAAAAGTATGTTAACGGAACACATTCGAATACACACTGGCGAAAAACCCCACCAGTGTCATATATGCAAGAAATGTTTCATTCAAAAAAGTAAATTGACTACACACATTCGTATACACACTGGTGAAAAACCATTCGAATGTGACGTATGTAACAAGCGTTTTGTTCAAAAGAGTAAGTTAAATGTCCATATTCGTATACACACTGGTGAAAAACCCTTTGAATGTAGCGTCTGTAATAAATGTTTCTCACGTAGGGCGAATTTAAGGGGACACATGCGCTTGCACAGTGGTGAAAAACCATTTCAATGTAATATTTGCGACAAAAGTTTCCTAGATAAGACTTATTATACAATACATATGCGTAAACACACTGGTGAGAGGCCGTATCGGTGTCATTTATGTGATGCTAGTTTTATTCAAAGCAGTGAATTAAAAAAACATTCTCTTACACACACCGGTGAGAAACCATATCAGTGTAACGAGTGCCAAAAATGGTTTGTTCACAAAAGTGAATTCACGAAACATTATCGGACACACACCGGTGAAAAACCTTACGAGTGTACTGAATGTCGTAAATGTTTCAGTTATAGCAGTCACTTAAACACACATATGCGTATACACACAGGTGTAAAACCGTTCGCATGTAATATGTGTACAAAAAGTTTCTCATATAAAAGTTATTTGGCGACACATATGCGTTCACATATGGCGCAGAAACCACATCAGTGTCATTTATGTACAAGAAGTTTTATATTTAATAGTCAACTAGTTGCACACATTCGTACACACACTGGTGAAACACCGTATGTGTGTACAGTATGTAAAAAGGGTTTCGTTGACAAGAGTCATTTAACTGGACATATGCTAACACACTCTAGTGAAAAACGTTACGTGTGCGAAATATGTAAGAAATGTTTTATACATAAAAGCAAATTGGCGATACACATGCTTACACACACTGGTGTAAAACCATTTAAGTGTAGTGTGTGTAAAAAACAGTTTTCGGATAATAGCAATTTGATAAGTCATATGCGTATACACACTGGTGAGAAACCTTATCATTGCAATGTGTGTACAAAAAGTTTTACACGCAAGGATAATTTAAGAAGACATGCGTCTACGCATAACGGTTAGTCATAACTCTACACAGTGTGCCAGTTTCGAGCAATATTTCTTAAACTTTTCCAATATTTATGAAATGGTGACATTAGAAAAGGAGTTATATGCTCAGAATATATGCATACCCGCAAATGAGCACGCATACCCACACACACACACACCTCAAAAATTAATAATGTTTTGTTATTGTGCTTTGTTGTTGTGCGTTGTTTGTAAATGTATTAATGTTATAATTATGTGGGTATTAGAAAAATAATAAAAGGAATAATGAAGTAAATCTAGGACATAAACACACACATAATACGCATTAACACACGCGCGCTCACACACACACACACACACACACACACACATAAACACACACGTATAATCATGCATGAAAACTTTTAAAATTTCAAACTATTGTATGGTAAAGAGGTCAATCGAATTTCATAGATTTATTTATCAGTACTTTTAATCATAAATAACAAAGGTAATACAAGATCATGTAAAGAATTTGTAAATCTGCGTACCTTTAAGGGTCTTATATCCCTGAAGGTTTTTTCCTTTTTTTAATATTTTCTCACATTTTACACCAGGCCGTCTGATCCCAAACTAGGCAGAGCCTGTACTATGGTAACCAGACTGCTGATAAACACACATATATTTCTAAATATTTACAAATTATAGATAAAGTACACCCAGCCACAGAACAAATGACCGTGCTCATTATATTTGCCCTAGGGGGGAATCAAACCTACGACCACTGGCGTAGCAGTCAGGGTCACTAACCACTAGACCAGGCAATAAATAATGAATAGTCTCAAATATTAAAATATTTTATTAAAATGTTCTAGATTAATTCTATGTCACAAAGTGTAACGGACGGTACATAATAAATCTTATACTCACGTGTTTCTGTGAATATAAATTACAGGTGGTCATGGGCGGAGGTAGTCGCTTACCACCAGGTGACCCATCTGCTCGTTTGCTCCCAAGATCATTAAAAAATTCAAATTATCAGACAGCAAGTGCTGTAACACATTTCACCAAATAATTGTGTAATCAACAGCCTTTACTAGTCCACTGCTGGACATAGGCCTCTCCTTAGAAAGGAGGTTTTGGCATACTATACCACGCTGGCTAGACGGATTGGTATAGGGTTTGTTTCAAGTTTTCCTTCTCTCTGCAGTCCTGCGTAGTTTACTCTCGTAGTGGCTCTTACGACACACGGGATGAATAGGGGTGGTGACACTCTGTATTCTTCATCCGTCGTCACACGGATTATTTGTTGTTATTTGTTCTGTGTCTATAAGTATGATTTTAATGAACTATTATTAGACGTAACGTATAATAGTTTTGAAACAATAATAATTTTGTAAATGTGTGAGTGAAGAAACGGATTAAAATTAAACAATTAACACACGTAAACGTATAATATGTAATAAAGTTTCAAATATCACAAATATTCGACAAAGAAATAGAGAGTTCATTTAACCGCGCAATTCCATTAATAGTTCTAATAATAATGCAGGTTGGCACGAAACAATGAGTTTTACCCCTACTAGCTGAGATCCGCGGTGTTACCCGCGTTTGTTGTTATAACCGCGGGCAACGCCGCGGGGCGAAGCTAGTCTAAAAAAGTAGCCTAAATTACTCCTTATGTCATGAGCTATCTGCCAGTGAAAGTCCCGTCGAAATCGGTCCAGCCGTTCCAGAGATTACCCGGAACAAACAGACAGACAGACAAAAATTGTAAAAAATGTTATTTTGGCATATGTACCGTGTAAACATACATATGCATTTAGTAAAAAGCGGTTATTTTAATATTACAAACAGACACTCCAATTTAATCTATTTGTATAGATACATAAGATTGAGAATAGATTGTCGCGCCGTTATATTGTTTACATTTAAAACCAACTCGTATTTCTCGGCAACGCAAAGTTCTCACAACGAATAAAAGTTAATAGAATTAACCTTCTAGTGGTCTAACGAGTATTTTAAATGCCATAGACACAAAGAATGGACAAAGCGGTTGTGCAATCAATTCGTCTCTTTTCTGCAAGCCTTAAATCAGAATATTAGAAAGAGACAACTGCTATCCTCACATTCGCTTTCTCCTACTTTTCGATCTGTATTTACTACACAGCTGAATACGGAACGCGTAGTCCATTCTCTATGTCTAAGATCAATACAGGCACGTTTAGCTTGACAAGACTACAACGAAGTGATCTAACCGAATAGAAGAGTAACCCAGAACCTTGAATAATCAAAAACCGTTCAAACATTTAAAGACACTGATACAGTACCTAATAATTGAGTATTGTTGGACAATTAATTAGACTATTCAGTACTAGCTGGTGCCAGCGATTTCGTTCGCGTGAAATTTGAAAAGCGCTCCCTCAATGTATTCGATTCCCGGACCAATTAAAAATTTTATAGGGTTTTTCTGAAAGAAACTATAGCCTAAGTTACTCCTTATACAGACAGCTACTTGGTAGTAAAATATTATCAAAATCGGTCTTGCCGTTTTGAAGATTACCCGGCACAAACAGACATAGACAAAAAAATATTTAAACTGGTTTTTAGGCATAGGTACTATGTAAATAACCTTGTAAGCATGAAAAAAAACCTATTATTTTGACATTACAAACAGTTCAATTTTATTTATTTGTGTAGCTTGTTTGAACGTCTTTAAGTGTGTTTAGTCTTTTTAGTGGTCAGGAGGTATATTATTCCAAACAGACGAACCCTAACACGTACCTAACAATGACAAACTTACGTGAATAACGCACACAATTACACCTGGCTAGGTATTTCTTTTGTGGTGTTTACTAAACGAAATGAATTAAATTACAACCCAGTACCAATGCGTTTAAGATCAATTGGTTGTTTATTTATACTTTATTGTACACACTGAACACATACATATATCTAAGTAACAAGGAAATGTCATGTACAAAGGCGAGCTTCACCCAAAACTGAGTTTTCTAGTTTGTTGGTTCTAACCTCAATTCCAATACCGATTTTGATACATTACTCTAAGGCTCAGGGCTCTCTGACCGTCCGCAGACCGACGCGTGTCCGCCGCCGGTAGCGTACGGAAATGCTCAGCGCTGGGTTCTTAGGAACGTCGACGGATGAGGACAGTACGACGCCGCTTTGTCGGTCGCATATCACAGAACCCCGCGCCCAAATAAACCAATTTGCAATATGCCGTTTTAAATACCTGTTTTGTCAATAGTGGGAATCGTGCCCCTGGCCTGGTGGTCAGGATTGACCCTCGACAAACATGCCCGTTAAAAATGTTAGAAGAACAGGTTGATTCATCATCATCATCATCATCAAAAGACTTTAATAGTCCACTGCTGGACATAGGCCTCTCCTTAGAAAGGAGATTGATTAGAGATACAAACTTAGCCACGAGCTAGCTTCTAAGTTGTTGAAAACTGTTTTTTCTAATATTATAACTGCCTTGGGGATGCAGTGGTAGCGTATGCGACTGCTGTGAAAAGGTCTCGGATTCGATTCCCGTGTCGGACCAAATGTTTGTATGATCTACCAATATTTGTTTCGGAGTTTAGGTGTTTTCTATGTATATATAGGTATTTACATAAAAGTATATAAGTAATCTGTCTAGCTTTCATAGTACAAGCTCTGCTTAATTTGTAACTAGATGGCGTGTCAGATGTCCGAATATATTATTATTACTAGCTGAGAATAGTGTGTTGCCCGCGTTTGTTGTTATAACCGCGGGCAACGCCGCTGGGCGAAGCTAGTCTAAAAAAAGTAGCCTAAGTTACTCCTTATGTCATCAGCTATCTGCCAGTGAAAGTCCCGTTGAAATCGGTCCAGCCAACAAACCGACAGACAAAAATTGACAAAAATGTTATTTTGGCATATGTACCGTGTAAACATACATATGCATTTAGTAAAAAGCGGTTATTTTAATATTACAAACAGACACTCCAATTTTATTTATTTGTATAGATAACTCCTGCAGAGTATAAGATGTGGTTATTAAATAAGATAATTCAGATATGTATGAGATAGAATAAATGTTTATGAATGGATAAATTGTTTTTTTCTATTATGAAAACCCCAACGCACATTGGAACTGGCCCTTTCCAAAAGGCCAACTCGTGACAAGTAAGGACTTAAAAAAAGACAACTCCGTGGATTGTTTCGGTGTTTCTTCCCAGAGTGAGTCTTAGGAAATGTAAACGCCTTCTAGCTGTAAAGTCCGACTTGTACAAATATCTAAAAAGACTTACTTGCAAAAATAAATAAAATTTATTTATATATTTGTGCTGAGAAGGCAATAAAACGATTATAAATTCACAGAATACAACTGAGTGGTTAGGTGCTTGAGGATTTTCTTGAAGTAAATCACCTTTTAAAGATTTGTATAGCTGTTATTTATTTATTTATTTTATGTCAGAGGGGGCAGAAGAGCAGACGGGTCACCTGATGGAAAGTGAGAATCGCCGCCCATGAACGTCTGCAACTCTGGAGTCCCAAACGCGTTGCCGGCCTTTTAGGAAGGAGTACGCTCTTTTCTTGAAAATATATCTTGTATATAAAATTCTCGTGTCACAATGTTAGTTACATACTCCTCCGAAACGGCTGGACCGATTTTTATAAAATTTAGTGTGCATATCGGGTATGTCTAAGAATCGGCTGACATCTATTTTTCATACCCCTAAATGATGAGGGTGACAAACGCCTAAATTTTTCAGACCTAGAAATAATATATATACAACGTTTGCCGGTTCAGCTAGTTATAAATAATTTAAAAAAATGAATACTAGAGAATCTTCATAAATAGCTAAGAAAAAATGTTCAAGATGTGATAGTGACAACTATCAAGCACTTACTAATTGAATGTCACATGTATAATAAAGAAAGACTAGAAGTTAGTCTACCTAAGAATTTAAGAGATTGTTTAAACAATGTAGAAAAGACTGTAAAATTCCTAAAACTAATTAATCACTATAATTTAATTTAATATTGTGAACCTACAGAGGTCGCTAATGACCTTAGATGTTTGAGCGACCTTAAATAAAAAGACAAAAAAAAAAATTTCATAAATCTTTTATTTCGAACGAAAAATGTAATAAATTTATAATAATGTTATATAAATATTTACGAAGTATATATTAAATATTTCGTATAAATTCGATCAGTATCACTAAATTTACGGCATAATAAAATACTAGAGATCGTTTGTTGGTCATTTCTCGTCTTGTCATTATATATGTACAAGACAGAGCTGTCATTGTAATAAGACAGGTCAACATATACTGGACCCTTATAGTTTTATGACTTCACATCAACAGCTTTTAATAGACCATTGCTGGACATAGACCTCTCCTTAGAAAGGAGGTTTTGGCCTTCTTTACCACGCTGGTCAGACGGGTTAGTATAGGGTTTGTGTCAAGCTTTCCTTCTTTTTGCAGTGCTGGTGTCGGCTCTTACGACACCCAAGGGATGAATTGGGGTAGTGACATTCCGTATTCTTAATCCGTCACTACACGGACTGCCAGGATACAATTTGTAATAAAATACTAAGTTTTCCAGGATGAAAATTAGCCTATGTTCTATTCAAGGTTATAATTTATCTCTGCTCCAAGCTCTCCATGCGTGGTGGAATAACAAGCATCAGTCCAAGTGCTCGTGTTTTTATAATAGAAGTAAGTAATAGTAAACATGTTACCATGTAACATAAGGAAATGTGGATTTAGAATAGATAAACCTGACTACCCGCATTTCCTTTTTCTTTTTTGGTATGGGGGGGCAAACGAGCAGACGGGTAGCCGCCCATGGACACCCGCAACTCAAAAGTCACAAGTGCGTTACCGCCCTTGGAGTCCCTCCCGCTCGAGTCAGCGGGAGGGGCTCCGGTCACCTCACACACTCAAAGTCAGCGAAAGAATTGCTTAACACCGTTTTTCTGTGGCTTTATGAAAAAGGGGGGCTAAATTCAAGCTGGAAAGCCGTAAAATCTACAGGGCACGGAGGCAGATGCTCCTAGAAAGGTATGGATAATAGAAGAGGCGTAGAAGGACATCAGAGAAAGAGAGCACAACTATACAGGTATAGGTAGTTTGCATGAAAATTATTGTATGAAATTTGGAATCTTGGAATTCATCTGATGATGTAGCCAGGAGATGGATAGTGCAAAACTTTTAATTTAGCAGTTTTAAGCTTTCTTTTTAATCTCCAAAAGCAGAGGAAATTAATGTTAAAATCAAAAGAGAGTTAAAATCTAAAATCAAAAGAGTATACATACTCTTTTGATGTCAAATCTGATCTGTTTGGTTTATAATACATAGAGGTTTAAATTACTTTAAATTTGGAATGTCTGTTTTATTTGTTCAGACTAAATTGTCATATTCTTGGTCACTATTGTTGTCATAGCTTGAAGGAGTACATGTGTATTTTTCTATAAATTATATCCATAAGTAAATTTAAAAAAATGTAAAGTTCAAAATAGTTTACGAGTCTAGTGCCTTTTTGGTTTGAAAGTGATCCCATTGGCCACATCCACCGTTCAACAATTAAAGTATACTTGAACAGGTTTTACTTTAGCGATAAAATAAGTGGTACGTTTTATTCTACTAGATAAACGTAAACTAAAATTCATCAAAACTGGTTCCGCAGCATTTAACCGCAACAGAAAGACAGTTATTATTCTTGGTATAGGTCTCCCCGTACACTATTTCCACTATAATTCTACCCTCTATGTATAGAAAGGTGATTTGCCAAATTATAATCCGTTATAAAGCATTTGTTACATAAATTACACTTATATTGTTTTTCACGGTGGTAATTGGTATGGTGACGTCTTAAATAACCCCAGAACAAAATGGTGCCTTCGCCTTTGCTGTGACGTAGCTTGATTTCGCTACTGCTCACCTACCCAGTAGGTACCTGCTGTTGTATGATCTGTGCTGCATCTACAGTAAATATATCGTTGTATTGATATTCGTAAAAACAGTTTCAAAGCGGAAGTTAAGTTTCTAAGCCGTTAGCGAAGAAAGTAGGTAGATTGTAAATTAATATTATATAAAAGGCGCTTATAATTTGTCTATTAGCTTGTTCTGCTGGTGGCAATGGAACATAACCGTAAAGAAATGTGTTGTAAAAAAAAAACAAGTCACGACCCCCGCTAAACCACTCGGGCTTCGGGCTTCGGGCTTCGGGCTACTGCCCAGTCTGTGGAGTGGGAAAGAATATGGATTTTTCAAAATAGGATTTTCTGTGTAAGTTTAGTTTTGTTTTATTTTGTACTATTTATATGGCTTATGTACTTGTTTTTATGAAGCCACCTGTATTTTCTGTTTGTGATCTTTTTTGTTCAAATCTTGTAACGATCGCCTGACAGTAACAGAGGCACAGAGAGAACCACAAACAGGTATTTGCAGTTTCCATCACCCCACCTCCTATGTAGACCCATAGCCCTCTCTATTATCTCTTAAAGATACAGTAAGCCTTTAGCCTAGTACACTTTATTTTCTCTTCTTAACATTAAAGTAACTAGCTAAAGAAATGTTTTAGCAACAGATGAAACATCAAGCCTTTACTTGAGTAATCTTAATGAATATCAATTAAATTACACAACCATTTATATCACTATGTATCAAATGATAAACTCCAAGTCCAATGCCTTAACCACTAGGCATTGGACCACCACTTTTGTGTATGTACATTTGTGTACACTGTTAATTAATTAGGTACAATTTTACATTTTTACCGTAAAAATTAGATGATCAAACGAACTTCTCAAGTGAAGTTCGATCACTATTATATGAGTCGCTTCATTCGAAGATACAATATAAATCCATACCAAGTAGTCCCTTTAACCTACAGGCAACATCGCACGTTTTTTAGAGAAAATCGAGTTAAGGAATCGATTTCGTATTTAAAAAATAAGAACTGTCATTCGCTACGGCCACCCGCGTCCGATCTGTGGAGCTCATTCCTTTAGAGATATAGAAACAAACTTAATTATTGGAGCAAACAACATGAGGTACTGAATGGGTTTTGCTTGGGTGGGAGGGTCATTGTATCTTCGAATGAAGCGACTCATATAATAGTGATCGAACTTCACTTGAGAAGTTCGTTTGATCATCTATTATATTTCGTCACTTCATTCTTCAGATACAATATAAATCCATACCAAGTAGATGTTTAGAGAATTAAGTTTTGTTCCTATCACCGTATGGGTTATTAAGTTAAAGCCAAGATATTGTTCAATCAGAGGGTTTTATTTAAACAAAAATACTTTACTAAAGATATTT